CTACACGCCTGCTTAATGCCGTTGCTTAATCGATACGCATGGAACGCACGAGAGCCCCGTGCCTTCACACCAAATTGGTACTTTAATAGCAGATGGATCTCAGTAGGTCATCTTGTCACTTTTACTCCCCTTCTGTTCCCTGCCACTTTGTACAAATTTATTTTATCCCCTTCCTACGCGGACTATTAAATCATTCACTGTCTTCCCTGAAACTTGGCGTTTGTATAAAACATTAATAAATACATTTTTATTGGACAGATAACTGGCAAGATACTTTGTCCTCAAATTAGTCGAGTCGCTAAGAAAATGTTGCCTTCCAGATTTTTGAATGTTTAAAAAGAAATAAAATTATGTTGCAAACATGATATTTATACGGTTAATGTATATAAACGTTAACGTTAGCACTTCGATTCTATCCGAACAAGACGCGTCTCGCGCTACGGAATAACTCGCGCGAGCGATGGGGCGACAAATTTCAAGCTGTAAAAGCAGTTTTATGGAAACATTGCGATTACAGGGTCCGACGTGTTTCTAGCAGTAAAAAGGTTGACTAACTTCGAAGTGTCTGCGGTTTGACGGAGCTCTCGGCGACATCAAAAAGCGGAGATACTCGGGGGAGAAATACAGATCCAGAGCTCTCGAGATGAAAGCTTCTTGTTTATCAAACAGGTCCCGCGGTTCTCCATAAACATTGCATAATGCGAGCTCTAAAACACGCGCTACGGACGGTCGGATCGATTATTAAACGTCGAGGGTTTAGGATTGTTCGGACGGTCCGAGCGTTCCCGACGATTGACGTTCGATAATTACCGGCGCACACTCGAAGAATTCGAGTCGCTCGTGCGATCCGACGAATCCGAACGATTCGGGTCTCGATTCTCGAAGAAGCTCGACTAAGAATATCGCTTTTCGAAATTAAGGACAAATTACTCGCGGTCGATCGATCGTTGCGGACGATTTCCAAACGAGCAACGTTTTGTTCAGAGTTTGAGGTTAGGCGAGGCTCCATTGATGAACCCCGACTAAAAATATGGAAAAATGTAGGTCAGTTCCCGTACCCGTCGGAACGTGTGTCAGCAGATGTTAATAACAATTATATTTACGAGCTCTGGTTGCGCTGGACTATTTAAAGTCGCGTGACAAAATTTCTTCCGGAACGATCGGCGCCTCAAATATAGTCGCCGCGGCGTCGCTCGGTTTCGTAGGAAGAAACCGCGAGCGCTTCGCCGACGGTCGCGATCGTTTCATGGGAAATCCATTCAAAAACGAAGGAAGCGTTTCCAAATGGAACGCGCGACGTCCCGTGAAATAATTTCCCGTGAAGAGGTACAAGTATTAAACTACTGAACCGTTTTCCTGAGTCGAAGAGAAAAATGTTATCGCATGGGATGTCAAAGTTGGAAGCTATCTCTTGTAGTCATAAAAAATGTATACGAATTCGCTTGAAAGTATATTAATGAATTCTTTTTGATGCGATAAGATGTTAATTAACCCGCTAATGACGACTCGATCCGTCCATCCCTCTTTTTCTTATTCATTTCACTGAGTACCCTGGTATCGTTTTGTGCCGCGGTAATTGCATTAGCGATAATTACGTTACATTACGAGGATATTTATCTAGCCGCCTCAATGTCCTTTTTATACCGTCAGACTGGTCCCATCGTTATTTACAATCGCGGTACTGCGGCGTTCGCCACGCCAGGGACTACGGTTAATTCACCGGTTCGATCGATTGCTCCGAAACTGAAACTCCGTCGTAATCCATTAGAATTGCGCAATAAATCCTCGGTTCATTAACGCGTAATCATCCCCGCAGCTGAATTCCGATTATATCACCTACTAAAATATCGACGCGTCATCGCGTTTTCCGCGACCATAATGGCGCATGGTCATTACCTGCAGGATTCGCGTGAATTAATTATCGGGATTGAACAAAATACGCTCGCTTCATTAGAAAATGGCTTCCCAGAAGACGGCTAATAAAATCCATTTCGCGCTTCCCCGCGCGTAAACAAGTTCCCTATAAAAATCTCTAAAAAAAAAACATACCTAATCATTGCGAGAAAATTCGAAGACAATCAACGCGAAAAACAACTTCGACGAATACCGAACCTCTGTCTCACGTTTCTACGGCACAAATACGAAATTCCTTCCTCGGTTTCCTCCTCGCGCGACGTAAACTACAAACTTCTCGAACTCCATTCAACAAATTTCCCACGCGTGCGAGCGTCTACGAACTATCCGCGTCTGCTCAATCCATTTATCAATATTCATCGATGAATACGCAATCTCTGGGTCCTCCGAAGCTCGAATGGCGGATCGTCCTTTGCGAGTCCGGTCCCGCGAACAGTTTATTATTAACGAACGACCGGTGAACGCGTCGAAAGAGGAAGAGGAAAATTATATTGTCGCCAGCCGCTTGTCTAAATGCGGCCGGAATCCTGGGAGATTCGGGGGAGCGATTGTCTGCGGCGTCCGTGAACTAGGTCCTAAACGCTCGGATCCCAGTGACCCGGACTCGTTGTCCTTGCACTCGGTGACCCAGTTTCAGGATCGGGAGATTCCCGCCCGGCCCCAGGTATATACCGGGATATACGTGTCAAGGTCCCCCCGTTCATCTCGAATTGACGCCGTTAGAGACGGGTTCCGCGGCGATAGAACAAAATCGGCCGCTATTTCGAGGCACGCCCGAAAGAAAGGAAACTCTTTCCCCGTTCGAGCATTCCCCTCGCTCCCTGGGCCGTTTCGCCGTCCGACTCCGAGCGAGTGACGTTGACGTTGCCGGATTATACACAGCGTGACCGAAATAGGTAGCCAAACTTCGGAGTCCCAGTTCGCTGATTGCGCGGACGACAAAGGATGCATCTTGGGCAGAATTTTTTCCCTATCGACTACAACGGCTGACTATTCGGACGCTCGAAGCTCCTTCGATGGAATAGGACGCGAGGGTATTTGGATTGGATATATCCGGTGAAGTTGTTTTTGATTGGTTGGAGGTGTGGATGGAAGCGGTGGCTAAACGTTGAAAATTGGGAGAAATGTTTTTGGTATGAGGAAGATCTGCTTTGTAACTTGTGTTGGAGATAGGTCTGGTTTCCTATGGTGATTAGCTTCGAAGTATTTTTAAGAAATTTGTTTAGTCTAGAGAGGTAGTCTTTGAACATTGATTTAGAAGGAGGGACGTCGTATTTCTAGGTAATGTAATAATAGTGTGCAAAGGAATTTTGTACTCTTGCTGCAAAACCTGTTGAGAAGAGGAAAGAGATTGTTTTGAAGCGATAACAACGGAGATGGAATAGTGAGCGAGATTCGAGGATACGAGTGAATTGAAGGATCACTTTTGGGATTTGAAGGAGCAGTCGAAATCCTCTTAACGGAGACTTTCCTCTGTTGCTCGAAAACTCGGGGAGAGAAATGCAACGTTGTATTTATCGGTTATTGGATTGAAAATATAAGTGAACGGCTTGATAGAGCCGAAATTCTGTACCTCGGATTAGCGCGAGTGAAGCTAAGTGGCAGGCGTAATGAACCGTGGGATTTGATTTCTCTCGTCTCCCGTTTTCTTTGTATAATTGCTTTAATCCTCTTATGACCAACTCCATGGAAGGCTTATTCTCTGCGTGGGCGTTTAAGATTGAAGCGTTCCGGGAACGACTGATCAATCAGGGGGAGCTAGCAATGATCCCTAAAGCACTCGTGATTAGTGTACCTGCGAATCGCTGTCAATGAAGGCAAAAGTGGTTCATTAACTTCTGAAGTGACTCGTCGATCGCTGCGGATCGTGCGTTTAAAGAATCTAGTGTACAGAAATTTGAGTATTTTCTAGATCACGAGGGAATTAAACATTTTAGCGGAAGTACGTAAAGGATCTACCTTAACAGAGAAAATTGACATGAAATTAACGAGAGATGCAGTATTATTTCTGGAAATCAACGAGGAATATAGAATCCGGGTCAGTCAAATAACTGGCTACAGAATGGAGATAAACAAATTAGACGATACATTTTTCTTAGTGGAAGCAGAAACAAAAGGAGGGATGAAAATTGAAAACCAATTAATCGGACAACACAGGAATTTATATGAAATTCAGTGAACAAAAGGAAACGCAGAGTTTTAAATCCAGTCATCTGTTAAAATTTGACGTTTCAAAGAATTCCCGATGCAATTCTCAAAACGAGTCTTTCCAAAGAACCCGTGTAAAATTTGCATGTAAAACTGCCGAAGATTCGACTACTACCATCAACACTCCCAATCAAGTCTAAACACGATTAAACCAAAAATCTCAGACCAAGAACCATTACAAACCATCCCACTCGAATCTTCAAACAACCTACCATAAATTGGAGCATGCGCGGAGTGACGAAGAAAGGCACGAGGCTTGAAAAGAGAATGCACATCACCTACCGCTCAGAAACCTTCAAACCCTTCCTTCGTCACCCAGCGCGCACCGAGAGCCGCGATTCTCGGTGGCCGGTCGATCTGAAGCCGCGAAGCACCGCTCGAATTGAAAGCATGCCAAAAATTCCGAAGGAAATCGAAGACTGGATCCTCACCTAGGCCAGGTGTAGACACCGGAGACCTCGAACCCGAAGTGCCAGCTACCGGAGTAAGCGCCCTGGCCCTTGGGCCCGGTGCAAACGCCGTGTCCGTGCGCCTTGCCGTCCTCCCAACCGCCGCAGTAGGTGCCGCCATCGTCGAAATCGAATCTGCCGCCGTTAACCTGGGCACGATTTGACGCCGCGGTGGCGGTACCTGTCGCTCCAGGTTGGGCCGAGCTTATGCCACCTGTTTGCGGCAATTGGGCACCACCTGCCACCCCGTTCGGTGCCCCGGACTGTTGGCCAGACTGTGGCTGTTGCTGCATCTCTCCGCACCGATGCTCCGCCGCCACCTCCTCCTCCGCCTCCACCACCGCCGCCTCCTCGCTTCCCCACCACCCACGTCGTTATCCTCGCCTTTTTCCTCCTTCTTCTCGTCTTCGTCTTCGTCTTCGTCGTCTTCGTCTTCGTCGTCGTCGTCTTGGTCGTCTTCGTCGTCTTCGTCGTCGTCTTCGTTATTGTCGTCGTGTTGGCCGGTTAGCAAAAATCGCGCGCGCGTCCCCCTGGACGTTGCTCCATCCTTCCTGTCCGCCTCCACGTTTCTCGTCTTACGCGTTCCAACGGATCTCTGCAAGACCACCGAACAACCCTGTCTTGAACGGGCCCAGAGGCAACGGCTCTCGGCTAAATCCACTACGTCCGCGCACGACGGAACGAACGCGACCGCGGGATCGATCCGCGACGGGAGCTCGATCGTCGATCCGATCCGCTGCGAGACTCACGGATCCCTCTTGACCATCGAAACCTCATCCAGACCCGATCGAGACCCCGGTCGAATCCTCACGCGATTCCAGGACAACGCTCGAGCATGTCTAGTGTCAAGGACACCTCTTTGTTTTTCCTCTTCCCTGAACCCCCACGGATCTATAAATACGATTGTACCAGCGCGCGTGGTGTACAGTCGAAGAGGACCGAAGCTAGATGAAATTTTCTAGGATTCGACACGGGTTAATTTTAGTCCCCCGTCGCCTCGGCGTGGAACCGGACCAGAGTGAGAAAAACGGCTTGCGAGGCGAGGCGTAC